CCTATACCATTGCTTACAAAAAGACTTAGGTAGCACTGATCGTATTTTCCATGATGCTTGGTCCTGCTCATTATGAGTAATCAGGTAAGAGAGGCTTAATTGATCTGAAGTCCCATTTCTCTGGCATTCTTTACAATTAAATCTCTTGGAAATTTTCCCAGTGACAGTAAAAAACAAAACAAAAATCAATCCCCCTATTCATTTCTAATAAGAGGTAATAAATGACTGATGCTTCCTGTTGCTTTTTTTCTTAGTTACCTAATTTCTGTGCCTTTTTTACTCTTCGTGATTTCCATGATTTCAGTGTTACAAATACCGTGTCTTAATATTGAAGTTACTGATTGACGATCTAGCACTGAGAGAAATGTTTGCTGAATTGGGGATGGCAAACTAAACACTTTCCCCAGAATTCTTATTGTGGATTGTTTTCTGAAAATATTTTGTGAGGCTTTGCTTTGCTTCTGGGAACCTGGCAGAGAGAAGTCAGTGGGGGAAGCCAGGAGGCACCTGCTAGTCTGAGGCTAGCAAGCAAGCAAGTGGCTGCTGCTGGGTGAGAGAGGGGATGAGGGGGGTATATGGGGTTGTGTGAGAGGTGCTGGATGGTTGGGAAGGGTATGTGCCACGTGATTGGGGAGGGTACACAGGTGGGCAGTGTAGGTCAGGAAGCAAGCTCTGGTATCCACAAAATGTGTGAGTTAGATAGGATACATGGGAGGAGGGTGACAGAATAGGCTGAGAAGGGTGAACAAGGATGTATAAGAGGTACTGCATGGGTCAGGCAGGGTGGACAGGCAGGGAACAGCATGAAGAATCAATGGGGGGGGGGAGTGACACAGGAGTATGTGACAGGCGCTGTGTAGGTCAGGGATGGTGTGTGAGTGGTGGCAATATGGACTGGGAAAGTTGCCTGGGAGTGTGCAAGGGTGTGCAAGTAGCACCATGCAGCTCAGAGATGGTGCACAGGAGGCCGGTATGAGTTGGGAAGGGTGCGTGGACTACCCAAGAGGTGCTGTGTAGGTCATAGCTGATGTGGATTGAGAAGGGTGCATGGTGGCTTGCAGGAGGTGCCGTGTGGATTAGGGATGGAATACATACCTGGAGATTCAGTGGATAAGGATTTGGGCAACAAAAAGAAGATATAATTAAAAAAATACTAGGCTGTGAAGAAATGGACAGATTAACACTGAAGATAAAAGAAAAGGAAGACACAGAGTACTATCAAACATGGGATTTGTTTTATCAATGGTTGGATAACAGAGGTAGAAATTAGGATTTTAAAGAGTATTATTATGTAAGCAACTGACTCAGACAGTATGCTGTTCATTAAGCACTTATTGTATGTAAAGAAAAAATATATAAATAAATGGGAAAAAAAGAAAAGGTTTATTTAAATATTCATACGAGGAAAGATCACATTCCTGTAATAAATGCATATTTGCCCTGGCTAAAATTAACAGTTAAGAAAGTGTACCACAGAGACTATAATGCAAATGGAAAGATAACAGATACATGCATTCATTAACTGTCTTCAACTAAGCAACTTGTTGCATCTGATCTCAAACCTTACATGTCACCAAATATATATTTGACACTCTTTCCTCTGTTTTTAACCTTTGTTGAATCTGAGGACCTTTGGAGATCTTGAAAATAGTATGCATTCCTCCCCCTCCAAAAAAAAAATTGGCACAAAATTCTTCTGTATAGGCATTGCTGCAGGCGATATGAATTAAATACTGCAGTGAACTGGCAAAGAGAACTTCTGTGTATCCCAGAAGTAATTAAGTGTTACCATAGAGCCATTCTGATACACAGGGAGAATGTGGGACACAATGTCACAGGTACAAAGTAGTTAACGGACTTAAGAACACTGAAACTGAGAATCAATCCATGTATCCTGCCAACTGCTACCAACTACGAGAAAAAAACAGTAAATGGGGCCATTTTCAACTTTTTCCTTTGAAACTAAGTATATAAGATTTGCCTTATTGCTATTGTCCCTTTTTTTTTCTTCAAGAAAGAAGTTTTTGAAACAAGTTTCTTAACAAAGGCAAACACTCGAGAAGTACAACTTTTCTGACAAAATTCTACTCTTTTAAACTTAAGCCTGGCCATTGGCATTTTGCCATGTATAACCAATATAAATATTTGGTCTCTTAATCATTAGCTTTTTTTTTTGTTTTTTTTTTGCCTTCCAGTCAATGTTGATTCCTGGCAATTGCCTAGACAAAGGTTTTTTTGGGCAAGATTTTACAAGAGATCTGTCCTTGTGATTGGTCCGAAGTCACTCAACTTTGTTTTGTTTTTAAGGTAGGACTCGAACTCACTGTCTCCCAGTTTCTAACCTGGTGCCTTCATCACTACACTAAACTCGCTTTCAATCATTAGTTTGGGCCAAATGTCTCTCAACCATAGCGGCTTGAAGATTTTAACTCTCACTCTCAGCACGCCGACTGGAGAATATCGAGAGTTGAAGTCCATACATCTTAAAGCTGCCAAAGTTGAGGAACATGGTTTAGGCAAAGAAAGATGTTGCTTGTAAAAGATACTGTCAGGCATACAAATTTCTTATCAAGAGAGGTGCAGTAGAGAATGTTCCATGTCTGATAATTTACTCTATTTTGTAATCACATTTAAAAAATTCAGGAAACATTTAAGAATTGATGGTAGAGAAATTCACAACGAAAGGCTGAACATACTTTTTTTTTTTTTTAAAAAAAAAAATCTTCTTAAATGAAGCTTTTTCATCCATAAAAGCTTGTTCCAACCAGCATGGCCTAAAATTTGTAGTCTCAACAAATCCTGATGTTACCAAACTGGGTAGGCTAGTTTATGCCACAATAAAAAGATTTAGAGGCAAGACGGGAATCAGCAGAGTGTTTCGTTCAAAAACTCATCTTTTCCCTCATATTACTTTCACAGAAAGGGTGAAAAATTTCATGCCTTCCTATCCTAATCCACAATAGGTATGAACTAGCAGCTGATAGGTATAATTTTCTCCACAATAGTTTAATCCAGCATTCAGGCAGTTAAGTATTTTGCAGCTGCCTTGCTCAGATGCCACTATCTAACTCTGCTTTGTGGATTAAGAAACAAAAACAAAAAACAGGGATGTGGTTAATGCTTGGATGGGGGACCACCAGGAAATCATAAGGCTGCAAGTTAGACTGGAAACTTTAAAAACAAGTATCCTGGAAAAGAGTGGGGCAAACAACTCCCCTATTCTTACCAACAAAATCATGCCAATGAAATCATCAGGAATAGAACCCAGCCTCAACCAGTAATTTTGCTGATAGACTTAGACTTGGTATAACTTTGTCACTTTGAATGTACATTAATCTGCACACATTAAAACGAAATTTTGTTGCATACAGCTCTCAATGGGTCTCCCCTTTGAGATATAGAACTACTAACTGAAAAAGTACGTTTTTAAAAATTACCTACTCTATTGATGTATTGTTCTCATTGCATTCCTTCTTTGCCATTGTTTAGCTTATTGTTCTGTTATTTTACCTCTGTTCTGTTTACACTCCTTTCATTTTTCTTCCTGTTTGTTATTATAAGCCACCTAGAGCAGCCCCCACGGCGAGATACCGTAGGCAGCAAATAAATTTAACAAATAAATAAATCGGTGACATGTAAAGGTAAACCTTTTTACTGGAAACTCCCCCCCTCCCCGCCAAAGTCGACTGCTGGGGCAAGGTTGCCACAACAGAAGGGGGTCGATATGAAAGCCTATATGAAAGCAATCCAGGTGCCCCGAGTGGAAAACGAGGAGGAGCAGGCGACGGAGTAGCGCTACAAGCGATATACCCCAATTCATCCCAAATAGGTTTCAGTTCGCTCTCACGCCGTCGCTTTAAACGGCACCCACAAACCGGACTCTGCATACACGCTTCAGAAAGCGGAGCCCGGTAAACGGCCCTCTTTTATCTGAACGCCGTGCAGATTATTCCTCTGAAGGCGGCCGGGCGATTAGTCTCCGGAAGGCGGGGAAGATGAAAAAGAAAAACGACTATTTTTTTCCCCTCTCTACCCGCCACACTCTTTGAAATAGGAAAATCACGGCTTTAGTGTATAAAGCGGAGAGAGAGAGAGAGAGAGAGAAAGAGAGACTGGCCGGAACTGGAAGGAGAGACGAGCTAACGTGGAGAGCAGGAGGGTGAGGGGAACCGAGCCGCGTAAAGCGTGTCTCGTAGGGTTTTGAGGAGGGGGGAAGGAGGGCGGCTGGATGCGAAGCCCTTCCATTGAGGGGCACCCATCCATTGAGACCTGCCATTGAGGGGCGCGGCCTGTGGCTCGCAAGGGGACCCGAGGAAGGGAAAGGAGGGGGGGCTTCCTTTGGGGCAGGAGGAGGCGAGGGCAGCGTCGCCTTTCGACCGGGCCCTTTCCGGCGCCTTAGGGCGCCCCTTTCCCCCCCTTTTTCTTCAAGCGCTCGCCCCTCGCTCCCTCCCTCCCTCCCTCCCCTGATCTGCCACGCACGGCCAGCAAATGGCACTCAGCCACGCAGCACGAGAAGCCGAGACCGAAGAGGGAGTCTAAGCCCAAGGGGGGGGGGGGGGCGCTTTTCCCAGGGTCCCCCACTGGGCTGCCCGCTCGGGGCTGCTGTTCTACTCACCGCTCTTACGGGGATCCGGGGCGGGGAGGGGGGCAGACGGCGAAGCGAGGTTGAAAGTGGGCGCTTTTTTGTTTTTAATTTTTTGTTTTATTTGGCCGCGCTCGCAGGGCGAGGGGAATTAAACACGGCGGACTCCTCCCCCTTCTCCTCCCGCCAGCTCCGTGTTGCTTTCCCCGCCTCACTCCACGAGCGAGCTAGACCTGCCTGATCCTGGCCTGGCGCCCGGTGCATGTGTTAACGTGCGTTGGGAGAGGGGAGGGGGGGGGGCTTTGGCCGCTGCTGGGGAAGTCCCGCGGCGCGGTCCTTCGCCGCCTCTCCGGGATCCGACAACAACACGCTGGGGAAAGCGGCCGGTGGGTGTCTCAAAGCCCCGCCGCGCTCTTACCTCTTGTGGGGGCGGTGGAGTCTGAGCTCCGGCTCCTTTGATAAAAGAGTCCAAATCCTTCCCGCTTTTTTGGGACGGCTTTATCCGGAGAAACACGCGTGCAAATGGCGAACAACCAGGTTTTAACGCTTCGCCCTGAGGCAAAGCTGGTGAAATAATCTCCCCCAAAGGGAACTAATTATGTCGTTCATTCGACCCAGATCGGTTTCGGTTTGCAACAGCTGTGACTCGCCCTGACGTCTTGAGGGGCCAATAGATCTCAGGTGAATCTACCTCTTTTGAGGGTGAAAATTTAACTTCCCTTTGAGCCCCGAGAGATAAAGGCAGTCGATATTATATAAAAAGTTGTGTCCAAGACAAGGGAGCCTCTAAGTTGATTTTGAAAAAGCTGAGCGGGGCCTGAGCTGGTTTCTCCTCGGGAAGGAGACCACCCAGAAATCCAAGGCTGGAGGGTGAACTCCCAAATTAATATTACCACCACTAGAAGTCAGCATAGGGAAGCCTCTTCAGTCTTGCTCCAAAGAACAGCTACATGGATTTGAGAAGCTCAAATAGGGACTTGAAGCTGGCGAATGCTGTTGCATATTAAAGAACATCATTCTGATTAATTGTACATGTGGAAACTCAACTGAGATTTACAGCAGGGAGATATTGTTGGTATGTAGTCTCATCTCAGGTTTACTAGTCCCTATGTTTGAGGTCAGCTTTTCTTACAGGGATGTTGTAAAAACAACATGGGGTGAACAATACTGTCTATAATCAAGATTTAAATGGAGCTGGTGATTATACATTTCAAGGGTTCTTTTTAATTGTTAATTACATCAATGTATACAACTTCCCATCCTACATTTATGATTCTGAATTGTAAAAGAATTAAAAACAAAAGCATCAACAATGAGATAAATGGAAGCCCAGGCTGTGTATTTAAAAATGATAACTTGTGCTGTAACTAGACCTTTACACAGTGGACCCCAGAACTAATCTCAAAACAAGCTTAGAGTAACTGGGGAACAGTTTTTCATTTCTCTATTAGGTTCAGCTTCAGCATTTCATCAAGTCTTTTCTGGAATTATCTTTTTCATGCATGACAATCATCATAAATATAATGTGAACTAAAAATGACCACAGCAGGTGGCAGTGCCTAGCTGACCTTGGTTGACTCAGAGCAGAGGTTGCTAATCTATAGATAGAGAAGAAACCATCCTGCAGGAAGGCAACGGGGGTCTCTTAAGTGCAATGTTTCCAAAGCTTGGGAACTCTAAGAAGTGTGGACTTCAACTCCCAGAATTCCTCATCCAGCATGGCTGGCTAGGGGATTCTGGGAGTTGAAGTCCATACATCTTAAAAAGTTCCCAAGTTTGGGAAACACTGCCTTAGTATCAAGGAAGTGATGCAGGCATATCTGTGTAGCCATCATATTTGATGCAGGCTAGCCTGATGCCACAGGATGGGGTCCAAAAGGTCAAAAACATGGTTACAACAATACAGACAAAACTGTTCTTTTTTTACGTACATTAGAGTTTCAATCACCTGGTGGTGGCTGCCATCTTGACTTTTTGGACCATATGTAGGTACATAAGGCATATTTATATAATTGCATATTGTTTTTTTAAAGGCGTATCAAGAGCAAAGCTGGAAAGTGGAACATAAGATGAGAGGAAGACTATAAAGAAATGCAGAGAATGGAAGGAGCTTATTATGAAGCAAGAATGGGAAGCTGAAACAAGGAGGTTAGGCTGAGCAAGGACAGAAAAGATAGAGCAAGAAGATGAAAAGGAGCCGTTAGGTTGGACGTCCCCTTTTCTCCGCAGCTTCTGATTTTCCTCCCACTCTACAGCATGCATACAGAGATCACATCCATAAAGAAAGAGCTCCTTTCTCCCTGTGTATGATCTATACACGTGTAGAATATGCCAGAGCATAAAAATATGCTATTAGTACGAATATACATTCAGTTCTTCTAGGACAGAGTGGGCAGCTAGAGCAACGTGACCTGTAGACTTCAACTCCCGGAATTCCTGAGCCAGCATAGAATTCTGGGAATTGAAGTCCACAGATCATAAAAGTTGTCATAGTTGCCCACATTGTCCTGTACTACGATATTTAGGAAAGGGCCTCCTGCCTGATTCTTTATTCTTGAACAGTAAACATGTTTCCTTGTCTTTGACCTTTTCATCCCTTTCTTTCTCTTTTCCTTTTGGAGAACAGGTATCATGTTTTCCTGCAACTGGGCTTTTAAAAAGCTTCTCTTGCTTTTAATGGAAGAGAACTTTCTTCCTTCAGGCCTAATTGTAGCATGGAGGATGCTACAGGGATCAGAGTCTCAGATCCATTGACACCATCTTTTTTTTTCTCCCTAAGGCAATTAGGATTAGGGAGAGAAAAAAATGGTGTCAATGGATCTGAGATCAGGATTAATTATTTCCTCTCCAATAACAAATTTGTTATATATATATATACACACACACACACACACACACATATATATATACACATACATACATACACATATACATACACACACACACACACTGCTCAAAAAAATAAAGGGAACACAAAAATAAGACATGCTAAATCTGAATGAATGAAATATTCTTATTAAATACTTTGTTCATTACATAGTTGAATGTGCTGACAACAAAATCACACAAAAATTATCAATGGAAATCAAATTTAGCAACCCATGGAGGTCTGGATTTGGAGTGACACTCAAAATTAAAGTGGAAAAAACACTACAGGCTGATCCAACTTTGATGTAATGTCCTTAAAACAAGTCAAAATGAGGCTCAGTAGTGTGTGTGGCCTCCACGTTCCTGTATGACCTCCCTACAACGCCTGGGCATGCTCCCGATGAGGTGGCGGATGGTCTCCTGAGGGATCTCCTCCCACACCCGGACTAAAGCATCCCCCAACTCCTGGACAGTCTGTGGTGCAACGTGGCATTGGTGGATGGAGTGAGACATGGTGTCCCAGATGTGCTCAAATAGATTCAGGTCTGGGGAACGGGCGGGCCAGTCCATAGCATCAATGCCTTCGTCTTGCAAGAACTGCTGACACACTCCAGCCATAGAGATAGAAAAACGCCCACACAGCATGAATAAACGAGATGATACATCCCACCTACCAGCCATTTGGAAACCCGCCCTCATTAACAAACGAGTACCTAACACGAAGAATGACACCAGACCCACACCCACGAGGGCCACACAAGATGCTACCACCACACTTCCACGTAGAAAGCAGACTCACACCCAGAAGATGAGACACGACCACGGACCAGAAGCCGTACCGCAGCTGCATCACTACCCGCTTCAAACCCCTCCGACCCATACATGAAGAGAACTGATGCCCACCATGAAGATGTGGCACGACCACGAACGTGAAGCCAAACAACGATCACAGCTCACCAGCTCAAATCCCCCAGTAACTAAGACTAACCTGAGCACAACCAAGCCCCCATTTGAACAGAACATCCCCCACAGCCAATCAGAACACAGCCAAGCCCCCACCCAATCAAGTCACACCCCCACTAGCAGTTAAAAGGAAGAAGCAGCTGCAAGCTCACATTATTCCGAGAAGCACAAAGCTGAAGACACAAGCCTGAAGATGATGAATGAGACTTCATCGAAACATCGCCTAGATACTTCCACTTTTACACGGGAGAAAACCCGAACAACCAAAGATCCACATACAAATACTCACGAAAACCTCAGAAAACATGTATGTATGTATGTATGTATGTATGTATGTATGTATGTATGTATGTAGAGATCTTAGGCCCCAGGTAGACTAATGGTGCTGCCTTTCTGATTGCTTTGATTCTCAAAAACTCTTCAATGTTGATATTTTGAAAGGATTCAAACGGGGAGGCAATGGCTCCTGGTGTAGGGAGTTTTAAAAGGGGATTTCTGAAGAAAGAGCTAAATGCACTTGCCAAATTTGGAGATGGCTTTTGCCTCTCCCAAGGTTACTGCAAGTGATAGAGTAGCACCTAACATCTGGGCCTTAAGTCTGGTTTCATTAGCTGAAACTTCCCTATTTAAATTGAGGTTGTGGAGTTCTCTGCTTTTCTTACTTTGTTTGCATTCAACACTGAAAGAAGAGAAAGGACTGAAAGAACATAGGAGAGTGCACTTAGGGTAATAATGATTTATTATTGGTGGCTCCATTGTAGGTGATCTTTTACTCATTCCTTTGGTCTGTAGATTTTAAATCTTTTATAACCTGTTTTTGCTACGTGACCAGCCCATTTCCATTCTTTTACTCTCTTTATGATATCGTATACTTTTGTTTGTTCTCTAATGCATGTGCTTCCTATCTTGTCTTGTAATGCTGAGCATGTATTTTTTCCATGGCTCTTTGCACCACTTGTAGCTTTTGTATTGATTGTGAGGTTAGTGTCCATGTTTCACCGGCATATGTTAGAGCAGGTAGCACACACTGTTCCAAAACTTTTCAGACATAGTGGAAGATTGTTCTTGAAAATTATGCTTAGCTTGCCGAATGGCTGCCAACCACATTTAACATGCCATTCAGTGTCCTTTATTATATCACCTTCCATTCAGATCTATTGGCCAAGATATATGTAGTGTTCTACCGTGTTTCTCACAAAATAAGGCCAGGCCTTTTTTTTTTGAGCCCCCCAAAAATGGGTAGGATGTCTTTTGGGGGGGGGGG